ATTTTTTATTCTTCATTTATTTATTTAAAAGATTTCATTTATCTATTTGTGAGAGAGAGAGAGAGCACGAGCAAGGGGAGAGACAGAGAGAGAGAGAGAGAAGCAGGCTCCCTGCTGAGCAGAGAGCCAAATGTGGGGCCCCATCCCAGGACCCCGGGATCATGACCTGAGCTGAAGGCAGACACTTAACCAGCTGAGTCACCCAGGCGCCCCCAACCTAATTTTACGAAGGGACAACTCCTCAACCTGCAGTTGGGGCAGATTTGGACATCTGGATGCATGCTCAAAATGAAATGGTTAAGAAAATCACAGCTGATTGAAACTTCCCACTTCTAAATATGTAGAGCCTTCTGCTATCAAACCATACAGACCTTCCTCCCCCAGTTTACGAAAGGATTGTGTTCATTTGGTGCAAGAAATGCAACGACACCAAGTTATATTGCTAATTACTAAAGCCCCAGAAGCAGACACCACCAGAACACAGTTTCTGGCCAATGGGAGCGGATGTCCTGGGACACAGCCCTAGCAACAGGCCCCGAACTCTGGGAATACACAGGTTAACAGATGCCGTCTCTGCATCAAAGGAGCCCACAAACTCGGGGAGAAGCTGGCCTGCAAGCAGCTGGTAACTAAGGGATGACTAGACGTTACAGCAGAGCGACGGGAGCACAGAGGCGGGCAGCTGGCTCTCAGAGGAGAAATGGGATCTGCCAGCAGACAGAGAAGGAAAGAGACGTCCCCCAAAGTTCTTTAACCAGCTGTGCATGGCTGTGGATGTGCCAAGTGGAGGAACAGAGGGCAGCCACCTCTGTACCATTTTGTAGGCCATGCCCACCCTGGGGCCGCACCCAGCTGCTCTGCAGTTAGAGATGTGGGACTGACACGGACTGGCCTGGGAAGGGAGGAAGCAAATAGGAAGTTCAGCTACAAGCTTGCAGGGTGGCGTAGCTGTGGGTCACCCAGATGGAGATGTCTGACAAGAGGCTGGCTATATAGACAGTGTGAACTCTGTATTAATAAATACACATGCATGTGGTACAAGAAATCCTGTTAGGTTGCATCAGGGCATGGGTAATACAAAAAAAAAAAAAGGTTGTGCTTCCTCTATAGGCCAGGCACAGTGCTAGGCTCCAGGCAGGAAGAGGTGAGGGACCCACTGGGGGCTGAGAGGGTCCCGGCAGGCAAATCCAAGAGAGTATGCCCAAGTGGTATAACAAGCTGCATGAGGCACTATGGGAGGACAGTGGGGGAGAACCAAACCCCAAATGAGGCTGAAGAGGTGAGGGATGAAGGAGTGGAATCCTGGGGTGGGGGAACAGGGGGGAGGGGAGACTAACATGAGCCAGCAGGATGAAACATCAATGGTGGTGGTGGTGCTGGTGGTGTGGGAGGGGAGAGGACAACACACAAGACACCCAGAGGCAAGAGACAGAGCGTGACTTGTTTGGGGGTGGGTTGGGGGGCAGAGGGGTATTCTAGGTGGGCCAGGTCGTCAGTCTGGTGGGTCACATCACATATGTGGTTTGAATGTTAGCCTTAGAGCAAGTGAGGGCCATCAAAAACTTAAGCACGGGAGTGGCATGATACCTTTGGCTTTTTATTTTTAAAGACTTTATTTACTTATTCATGAAAGACACAGAGAGAGGCTGAGACACAGGCAGAGGGAGAAGCAGGCTCCAGGCAAGGAGCCCGATGCGGGACTCCATCCCAGGACCGCGGGATCACACCCTGGGCTGAAGGCAGATGCTCAACCGCTGAGCCACCCTGGTGCCCCGACCTTTGGCTTTTAAAAAAGATCTCCTGGATTGCAAAGTGAGGGTGGATTAAAAGGGAAAAATCGGGAAACTGAGAGAGCCATCAGGAAGCTTTTGGGGTGAAAAGTGGTTATAGTCTCAGAGGCACGTTCAGGGGGTGGACAGACCGGATTTGGTGATAGGCTGCACCCGAGGAAGGAGCAGACATGGTGCCCAAGTTCTGAGCTCAGCCACCCGAGCTCATGTCTCGGGGACGGAGGGGACTACAGTGGGGGAGTGTAACTAAGGGCTAAGTTCCGAGCCTCAGGAGACCCCACGTGTGAGGCTGACCCAGGCCTTGAGCAAAGGCGGCGGAGGAGGGGAGGTCAGACCAGAGCTAGAGGAGCCAGGGCAACGAGGCATCCGTGAAACAAGCGGGTTCGAAGAAGGAATTGGTAGAGACCACAAACCCAACAGGTCAACTGAAAGCCTGAGGTTTCTCCTGGACCTGTGGGTCACGTCCGGGGCAGGGACGTGTGAGGACAAAAGCCTGATGGCCTGGCTGGAAGTGGAGACACCAACGCGCATCTTCCCGAGTCAGCTGACACAGCCCTTGGCTGTAGAACAGTAACGAAGAAAACCTGGCTCCTGCCACACCCTTCCTGGCTTCCCACCTGTAAAGTAGGAATAACAATGTGCACTGGCCCAGACTAATGGGGGGGGGGGACCTAAACCTCAAGGCCCTGGGAAAGTCTTGCAATCCCATTGGATCCTGCCTTCTTTTAAGTACAAAACCACTTTTCGCTCTCCTACCACTCAGTCCAAAATGCCAAGACCTTTCTTAAAGTTCTTCCTCAGGGGTAGAAGGAAATTTTTAGGTGCGAGATTCTTCCTTAGAGATTAGGAGTCCTCCTAAAATTAGTGAAACGAAAACAACTGGCAGTAAGGCTGTTATATTGGAACAAGTCAATTCTTATCAATCTAATGCATTTTTTTTTTTAAAGATTGTATTTATTCATGAGAGACACAGGCAGAGGGAGAAGCAGGCTCCATGCAGGGAGCCCGATATGGGACAGGATCCCGGGTCTCCAGGATCCCCAGCTGGGCTGAAGGCTGCACTAAACCACTAAGCCACCCAGGCTGCCCAAGATTTTTTTTTTTTTTTTAAAGATTTTATTTCTTTATTTGACAGAGAAAGAGAGAAGGTGAGTGAGCACAAGCAGGGGGAGTAGCCAAGGGAGAGGGAGAAGCAGATTCTCCCCTGAGCAGAGAACCTGACATGGGGCTCCATCGCAGACCCCAGGACCATGACCTGGGCCACCCAGACACCCTAAATCTATTGCAAGATTATTTGTTAAACACACTCCCCAGGGATGCCTGGGGGGCTCAACGGTTGAGCACCTGCCTGCCTTCGGCCCAGGGCGTGACCCTGGAGTCCCGGAATCGAGTCCCACCTCCCTGCACGGAGCCTGCTTCTCCCTCTGCCTGTGTCTCTCATGAATAAGTAAATAAAATCTTAAAAAAAAATCAAGTGATTAAACACACACACACACACACACACATTCCCCAAACATTTCATCAATTCTCTTAACCGGGGTCATGTGCATCAACTCAGGTTTAAAAGATTCAATTAGGGGCCACCTGGCTGGCTCAGTCTGCAGAGCCTGTGACTCCATCTCAAGGCTCTTGAGTCCCAGCTCCCGGTTGGGTGTAGACACTGGTTAAGAATAAAACCTTTTTTTTTTTTTTAATTTTTTCTCTTTTTAAGATCACACTACAAAAATTAATAAGGGCATTTGGAAAGTATCAACCATGGCTTAAAACCCTGAATTTAGGGACGCCTGGGGTGGCTCAGCGGTTGAGCGTCTGCAGTGCGCTCAGGTCGTGATCCTGGGGGTCGGGGATGGAGAGCCTCAAGGGGCTCCCTGCAGGGCGCCTGCTTCTCCCGCCGCCTGCGCCAAGGCGTGTCCCAAAACCCTCGCTTTAGGGGGCGACCTGGCGCCCCTGCAGCGCCCCGGCTCCGGGCACACGCCCAGCGGCGGTCCCGGGCCGGCCCGCAGGGTGCAGAGGGCTGGCGCTGGTGGTGCAGGAGCTCCGGCAGCCCGCGGGCCATCGCAGCAACAAAGTTAGGGACCGGGGGCCACCGGAGGAGGCCGGGGGTGCAGAGCGCGCGAGGCCGCGAGCCCCATCCCGAGGCTCGGCCCCGCGGCGGGAGCACAGGTGCGCGCGCCAGGTCCGCTCCGCAGCAGCCGCGCCGCCCGCCGGCAGCCGGAGCCCCGCCTCGGGCCGGCCGGGGGCGCGCGGGGCGCGGAAGGGCGCGGGCGGCCGCCGCGCTCCCCGCAGCCCCGCCCCCGCCCGCCCCCCGGGCGCGGCGCGCCTCCCTCGCCCCGCCCCCCGGCGCCCGGCGCCCAATCACAGCGCCGCGCACGTGACGAGCGCTGCCTGCGATGACCTCATCCCTGGTGTGGGATGACGTCAAATTCAAGATGGATGGAATCACAGCGGCAGCGGCGGCTGCGGCGCGCGCGAGCCGAGTGTGAGCGGAAAGGGGCCCGGCGTCTGCCTCGGGGCTGGAGACCGGTGAGTAACTGTCACGCCCCTCGCCCCGGGAGAACTGCGGGGCCCCGTGGGAGGCCACAGCCTCCTCGCAGAGCGCGGCCTTTCCTGACGTAACTCTGAGGTGATTTCTCTCCTCTTTTTTCTCTCCACCAGCGGGTTGCGGGCTCCGGGCGCTTCTGCGCGTGCGCGGGGTCCCGGCGCTCACCGCGCATGCCCCGGGCTCCCACGTAGCCGATTGTGCCTTCGCACTGCGCATGCTCCTTGCCCGCACTTGGCCTCGCCCTCGCCAGTGCGCATGCTCGGGCCCCGGCGGCTCTTCCTCGCGCGGCCAGGTGCCCCCCTGGGCCGGACGTGCCCGGCCTCGGCGCGCGCACCTGCGCCCAGCGGTTGGGACGCCTTCCGGCCGAGGGCGCGTGCGCCCGTCGGGTGCCCGCGCGGGGGGCCCCGCACCTGCAGCGGCCTGCGCCCCGCGGCCCGTCGGTCCCGCTCGGGGGCCGCCCCAGCCCGCCTCCCTGGCCGGCCCGCTGCCGGACGCGTGGAGCCCGGGGCGCGCCCCTGCCCCTCCAGGACCCCTGCAGGACCCGGCTCCCGGGGCTCCCGGCGCTCCCGGCGCTCCCGGCCCTCCCGGCCCTGGCCGCAGGCCTCGGGGCTGCAGAGGGCTCCTTGCCGGGATTCCGCGGCCGGAGGGCAGGGGGACGGGGCGGGGCGGGAGCAGCGGCCCTGGGCGCTCCCCGCAGGGACCCCCGCCGGCCGGGGCCGCCGAGGTCTGTTCTGCGGCTGGCGAAGGAGTTGAGCAGCGTCCTGTGAAGGATCGCAGCGCAGGGGAGCCCTCGGCACTAGCGCTGCACCCCGGTGGCCATGCCCTCCCTGCAAGCCCCGGGCTGCGTGCGCGTGGACCGTGCGCTTCAGCAGCACGCTTGGAGGTGGGGTGTTTGCAGAGGCTGTGGCTCTCTCTGGGGGCTGCCGGCAGGCGTCCCCCAGACCCCATACAGTGCTGCATCCTGGGGTCCTTTTAGTGCGGGAGCCCGGGGCTCCCCCCCCCCACCTCTGGCATGGGGGCATCAGCGTATTACAGCATAGACCAGTGATTGTTCATCACCGTGACCCTGAGTCATCCCCAAGGAGCCTGCGTTATGCTCTGTGCACCTTGCTCAAGAGGACCAAGTGGGTTCGTCGGTTTGGGGTTTCTTGTTGGCAGTAACTCTTAAGTCCGCTCTCCCTTCTGACGCTTGGAGTAAACTGCCCCCCCCCCACTTTCCACCTCTAATGTCTCATTGTCACTCCTTTTAAATTTAAGTATTCCTAAATGCCGGTGTTAAAAAAGAAAGTAGAAATTTGGGAGGTAGGTTTGCGTAGAAAAAAAAAAAGGAACATTCTGTTCATTCATTCAACGCTGTTTATTGAACGTGGGGTGAAAGGAGAGAACCCCAGTCTTCAAGGAACTTACCAGGGTTTTATGGCAGACGATGCCCCCCACCCCCACCCCGTGCGTAAACAAAGAGGAGTTATTGGGAGTCTCTGGGTGAGCAGATCCCTGAAGGGACAGCTGTCCCCACAGCCAACAGGGATGAGAAGAGCTGATTCTAGGGCTGTTTACAAGCGAGGTTTGCCAGGTTGTGGTGATGGGCTAGAGAGGAAAGAGGTTTCCGGGTTGGGAGAGCTGCTGGTTGGCAGCACACCTAACCAAATAAGGAATGTGTGAGGACAAGCAGATGTGGAGTAGGGGCGAGGGAAGTGGGCCGCAAGTGCTGTCCTGGGCATGCGGAGTATGCTGTGCCGGTAGTGTTGAGCAGGCACCTGCGGTCCCCGGGAGAAGTCTGAGCAGAGGTACGGACTTGGGAGTCCGCGTCCCCGTAACTGAGCCCCAAGAGCTCCTACAGAAAGCGCAGCTGCCACATGCTAAGCTCTTGAGACAGATGTTGGAGCAGTGAGGGTGAGCAGGTGCAGGTCTTGGACCTTGGGTGTGACGATTTCTCTTTACCCAGCAGATACTTTCCAGGCCTGTGCTAAGCACTGGGGATACACAGACGGAAATAAGCGGTCTTCCTTTTATGGTCTCTCGTGAGGGAAGTAGAAAAGCAGGTCACTCAGAATACTTGTGCTGTTACTACGGACAGGTAGATGGGGTGTTGCGCTAGTTCAGATCGGACTGAGCCATTGGCTGGGGGCACAGTAACTAAAGCTTTGTAGATACAGTGACATTTGAGCTGGATCTGGCTGACAAAGTTGGCCAAGGGAGGGTAAGAAAGGTATGTTAGTTAGGTGGTGGGCATGGGGTGTACAGGTTTGTAGGGTAGATGGCAAGGAGCGTCCAGAGAGGGCGGAAAGATAAATTATGACCAGAAGTGTTCAGTCTGGAGAGTTTGGATTTTATCTAGGAAGTAATAGGAAGATCAGTTAGTATTCCAAAAGGCAGTGATGGGACCAGCTTTACTTTAGGAAAACAAGTGAAAGGCACAATTTCCACTCCTGCGTTAAATTGGGTTACCAGAGTGCAGAAGAATCCACAAATACTTATTGTCGTGCAAGGTAGCCATGTTGGACATTGTGAAGAGTGTCAAAACATACTAAATAGATTTTTCATCCTTAAACAGCTCACAGTTCTGTCGAGAAGACACACAACTAACAATATCTGGCACCGTATACACGTTATGTGAATGGTCCCACTCTGTAACACAGGAGTTGAAAGGTGCTTTTCCTCATTATGAATTGAAGTAGCTAAGGAAAGTGTGTTGGTTAGCTGAGGGCTGCCAAAACAGAGCACCACGGACGGGGTGGGGGGCGGGGGGCGGGGGAGCTAAACAGGGATGTATTTTCTCACAGTTCTGGAGCCTGGAAGCCCAGGATCAGGGTGTGGAAGGGTTGATTTCTCCTGAGGCCTCCTTCCTTGGCGTGTAGGCAACTGTCTTTTCTGTCTTCATGTGCTTGTCCCTCTGTGTGTGTGTCCTTATCTCCTCCTGCTGTAGGGACACCAGTCAGATTGGATTAGGGCCCACTTTATTTTTATTTTTATTTTTTATTTTTCGAATTTATTTATTTATTTATTATTATTTATTTATTTATTTATTTATTTATTTATTTATTTATTTATTTATTTATGATAGTCACACACACACACACAGAGAGAGAGAGAGAGAGAGGCAGAGACACAGGCAGAGGGAGAAGCAGGCTCCATGCACCGGGAGCCCGACGTGGGATTCGATCCCGGGTCTCCAGGATCGCGCCCTGGGCCAAAGGCAGGCGCCAAACCGCTGCGCCACCCAGGGATCCCTAGGGCCCACTTTAAAGTCCTCATTAAAACTTGATCTCTTTAAAGACTGTCTAAATATGCTTGTGTCCTTTTTTTTTTTTTTTTTACCCCCCCGCCCCAAGATTTTATTTATTTGAGATAGAGCAAGAGAGTGAACAGGAGCAGGAGGGAGGTGCAGAGGGAGAGGGAGATGCAGACTGTTGAGCAGGGAGCCTGACACCGGGCTGAATCCCAGGACCCTAAGATCATGAGCTGAGTCGAAGGCAGACGCTTCACTGGCTTAGCTACCCAGACGCCCCTAAATATGCTTGCATTCTGAGGTGCATGGGCGGGGTCAGGGCTTCAGTGTGTGGTGGAGCCCCCGGGAGGGGGTCACAGTCCAGCCCATGGCAGCAGGCTTAACAGAGGGATTGGATTTGAGCTGAGCTTTGAAAGATGATCAGCATCCAGGAGAGTAGAGTGCTGGGGAAGGGTAGATGAGATCTTAGAGGTTCAAAGTCTGGTGGTGGGAGAAGTGGGACGCTTGGGTTATGTCCCAGAGACAGAGCATCTGAAGCAGGAAGTTATCACAAGGGAATAACAAAGGGAAAGTAAATTTAAAAAGTAGTTTGTCACCAGATTCACAGAGCCACAGAGTCTGTGTTTTTAAAATTATACATTTAATGCAAGGGAGAACCATGTATTCTTTTTTTTTTTTTAAGACTTTATTTACTCATGAGAGACACAGAGAGGGGCAGAGACACAGGCAGAGGGAGAAGCAGGCTCCCTGCGGGGAGGCCTACGCGGGACTCCATCCCAGGACCATCCCAGGACGGACGCTGGGATCAAAGGCAGCAGCTCGACCACTGAGCCACCCAGGTGCCCCGAGAACCATGTTTTCATTATTTTATTATTTCTTTTCGCTCAGCTAAAATGTCACATTGAGGCATTTCCTAACCCTTCTTTCAAACCCCCTAGTTCCTCCACCCGGTTATAGCACCCTGTTTATTTCCATTATAGTGTGATCTGAAGCTACCTTTTTCACTTGTTTCCTTGTTCATTATCTGATTTACCCCACTAGAATTTGAGGGCTTTGTCTGTGTTGGGCACCCCTGCATTTCAGGTGTGTCTAACCATGCCTTGCACATAATGAGCTCAATAAAGAAGTTGAAATCATGATAGTATTCCCTAGTGTGTATGTCCAGTGAGTGTTTGAAGCTTTGTTTTAGGAAGCCCCATCTAGCAGCAGGATTGTAAAGGATGGACTTGGAGAGCGGGGCAGGAAGAATGAGTAACACTTGGAAATGTATCAGTTAGGGTCCTTTAATAACGAGACCAGAAACAGGCTAGCTTGACTAGAACAAGGAATTTATTGTAAAGACCCAGGGCTGCTCCCGAGGTTTAAGGAAGAGCTAAAGAATTGGGCCGGGAAGTTCGGAAACCAAGGTAACTGGCAGGAATCGGTGTGGTGGGCACTGGCCCACTGCATTTCCAGGCCCGTCTTCCGGGGAGAAAGTTTGTGGTCTGCGTGGCTTTGGTTGTGTGCCTGCCCGTTCGCCTGGGGAGAGCCGCTCATCAGACTCCTGGGACGGGGTGCTTCTTCCCCAGCCAAACCCAGGCCTCCTCCAGCAGGACTCCAGAGCAGGACTAGAGAGGCCGCGCTGCTAATCCCCGTGCACGTGAGGGGCACACCCCGAAGTGTGCGAGACTGAAACCCTGGGTGAGATGGGACCTTCGGGAGGGACAGACACTCCTGCCCCTCCTGCCCCTCCTGCCCAGGAAGGATGCGCCGAGGAAAGCTAGCTTTGAAATCTGAGAAGCTTTAGACAATTTCTGCATATCTGCATTGTCACCAAGTGAGTGAAAAGCCAGCTCAGCACTTCTTGTCTCCTTTGCATAGTAAAATCAAGTGGGGAGTCCGGCCTCCCTCCAGACGTGAGGGATTGGGGCTGAGCTGCATGTATGTTTACGCTCCAAAGTCACATGTAGGTTCTTTGTTTTCCTGACTGGCTGTTTGCTTCCTGACGTGTTCTTTTTTCTGGTGGCGTGGTTGGGACTATGTGCGCAGTCCCCAACATTCCAAAGGGTCGTGTGGGCCGAGTTCAGTTTCAGGTTGATGTTTTGGTTGTAAACAGACACTTTCCTATGCAAGTGGTACCTTGCATGGGCTAGTCTTGGAGCAGGTTTGGTGTAGAATGTACCTTAGCTCTGACACCACCCGACTGTCAGTCTCCAGAACCAGAGAGGCCCTGAGGTTATCTTGGTCCCTCCCATCTCCCTCTCTGGGCCCCCCATTCACCCGCTGGGGCCCTTTTATCCTAGTGCTTAGCCATGCTTTGCTTTCTTCTGTGCATGTCACCAGAATGCTCCGTATTCCAGGATTGTCTGCCTTCCCTCTGTTCCCCTTAAAAATCTTAACTCCTTGATGTAATATTTTTATAAAGAGGAAATTTGCGTGGAATTGGTTTCTATAAGACACGGATCCCTGCTTCTCTTGGCATTTAGTACCTGAGGAATTTGAGCTGTGGGTATACAATAATTTTCTGTGGTTCAGTTGTGAAGGGCTTTGTAGCCGTGCTGGGGAATTGGAACTTGAGGCCAGGGCAAGCCTTCGGGAGTTTTTAAGTCCCGGCACAATCGGATGTTGGTCTGAAGACTCTGTGCAGTAGAAATGTGAAGATTGGAGCCTTCGCTGTTGTTAAATAGTCCAGTGAGCGGGGAGTCCCAAGTCCTCCCTGAGGTCCCCACGGTGCACTCATCCACCCTCCCACCGCCCAGCCGAATTCACTGCTTCCCGAAATCAGTATTCTCATAGCATCGTTTGTATCCTTCATCCTATTGGGGTTTTATGTGTCTCTGCCCTGTCACGGGAATGTGTGCGACTGGACAACAGGCAGCCGGCCAGCTCACTCCTCTCCCGTCACCAGCCTCTCTTAGGATTTATAGCATCCGGAACTATAAACATTGAGGAGAGGAAGGCCGCAAGGACATAAAACGTGTGCTTGCCATATACGAAGCACTACATACACGAGGACCTGGCGGACAGCCTGCGCCTTTGTTCTTCATAAAGGTCCGATCGGTAGGTAGGGCTAGCCCCATTTAACAGGGAAGGGCACTACACTCAGAGAGGCCGAGTGACCTTTAGCAGATCCCGTACCTGATAGGGGACAGAGCCAGGACTGGAGACAAATATTGATTTGAAGGTCTTTTCCATGGAGCTGTAAGTTCCATGAACTGTTAACTGTAAAGATTCTCATTTTGAAATTCCAGGAAACAACATGAAATAGGAACAATTCAGGCAGAGTTCTGGAAGATTTGCATGTGCAAGTATCCAAGCCATAGCACGCCAGCCCTGTTTCAGAGTCTGGCTTTCCCAGGGGGTTTCCGCTCAGCTCTTTCTGTCCATCGTAAATGACTCTTCGGTCCACATTTCACCCACTTTCCTTTTAAGAGCGCCAAGGCTTTTCACTATGACTACAGTGATAGCAGGAACTCTGCAGTGATGAGTCAGGTGGAGACGAGCAGGGGAAAAGGAGTGGGGGGGTGGACTCCGTGGCAGTGTGCATTTACATGTAAGGGCTTTGCAATTTGTGACGCGCTGTCTTCTGTAAGTCAGAGCTCCTGGTTATTCACCATTGAAACATTCATGAGAAGCTGGAGTTTGATGAGCCAGCGGATTTGTGGAGGAGGAGGTACACTGGGCCACAGGGTCGGCCTTACCTGAGGGCTGAGGAGCAGAAAAAGCAAAGGGCCTGGGCGTTGAGTCCACACACCCCGCCGGCCCAAGGCTTCTGCTGAATTAGCTTGTGAAATGCAGTGGTTGTGATTTCCACCCCTCTTTGGGCCTGCATCTTTTCTTTTTATTTCTTTTATTTTTTAAGGATTTTATTTATTCATTCGTGATAGACACACACAGAGAGAGAGAGAGGCAGAGACACAGGCAGAGGGAGAAGCAGGCTCCACCCAGGGAGCCCGACGTGAGACTCAATCCCGGGTCCCCAGGATCATGCCCTGGGCTGAAGGCGGCGCTAAACCGCTGAGCCACCCGGGCCGCCCAAGGGCCTGCATCTTTAATGGAACATTTTATATTTTTTAGTTAAATTGTTAAACTCAATAAATACACCTACCGTCCTTAAAACACAAAACTCCAAAAACGTGTTGTTTGCAGCCAGACCAAGAAAGGGCCCAGGGTTTTTGAGTTTTAATAATGAAAAAGGTAAAAGCAAGGGCTTAGGCGGAGAAGGGTGAGGAGCCTGCATGCCTTGCGCTCACTTTCCTATCACTCCAGCCGTCTCCAGACTTTGTCCCGGGCTGCCCAAGAGGACAGAGGAGGTCCGTCTCCTCTGAGGGTCTTGGGGTGGCCTTAGTTCACCCCTCAGGGCCCTCCTGGTGTCTGCCCTCCCGCAGCCCCATGGCCTGCCCTCCCCTCCGTGCAACCTGTGCTCCAGCCAACCAGTCCGTGCTCCAGCCAGCTACTCCTCCTCCGCTCTGTGCTGTTGGACCCTGCCCCTCCCCTTGGAATGCCCTTCACCCTTCCTTCCTGACTCCTGCTTGTTCAGGCCGTGTCTTCTGTAGAAAGCCTCGCCTGACCTGCCTCGGAGCCACACCTGATGCCATCACCTGTGCTGCACTTGTCCCTCTGCACATGTCCCATCTGGGCCTCCATACCCTGGCGTGTGCTGACCAACCTGTCCTATTCTCACTGTACGAGTCTCTGAGAGCTGTAAGCCAGGCCCCTGCTTGGCAAGCTTCCATCCTCTGTGTCCCCGGGAGCCACCTCCCAGCTTGTCCCACCGCCATCCCGCTACCGGTCACTCACCGGTGCACACCCTCCTAGTCGCCTCCATCTCCTTGTGTGTAAAACAGGCTTGTGGACAGCACCGAGCTCAGATATCTTTGTGTGGATTAGAGGAGGAGGCTGGAGAAAGCATGGCGTGAGGGTTAAAGAGTGTGGCCTCCGGTGCCACAGCCCCCAGTGTAAATCCTGCTGTGCCGCTGTTTGTGGGACCTTGAGCAGGTTACTTGACTCTCTGTGCCTGGGTTTCTCATCCCTAAAATAATCATGCTACCTGCCTGCTAGGGTTGCTGTAAATACTTAGTCAAGGTGTAAAAGTGTTGATGGTAGTATGTGGTCGAGGAAGCCCTCAAACAGTAACTGTCACTAGGTGTCCAGTTGGCCCTGGAGTGAGTGGAACTGGTGATTCCCTAGCATCGCCCACACCCGTGTGTCAGGAATTTGGTATGCGTGCCCACTTTTTTCACATAGGTAGTCTCGCTGATGACTAAATGGAGGGCCTAGCCAAATGAGTAGCATTTAAGCAGTTTTCAGGGACAGTGACTATATCTCCTACAACCCACATCTGAGTGACTTATTTTTCCTAATTCCCAAATGTCTTCATTCAAAGAGTAAAGGAGCCTGGGGGTAGAAGTGGTGACTTGGAAGAAAAGCAGGCAGCGTGGTAATTTGAAGACCGCAAAAGAAGGAAGCTTTTCTGAACCATGTTTTTGGTATACAGCAGTAAGGTGCAGACGGTGTGCAGTCGCCTTGCTTCATGTCCAGGGACTCGGAGATTCTCACTTGGTTTGGTCCTCACACAGTCCGATAGCCCACACCTGTGCTTCCAGGTGCCTGGTGCCTTGGTTTGGATTCCCCCAAGAGCAGATCCTGAGCCTAGGATTCAGAGTAGCTGTTTATTTGGGACGTGATCCCAGGAAACACAGGAAAGGTTGTAGGGAGAAGGAAGCAAGAAGAGATGCCCGTGAAGGGCATGTTAACGGGTAGGTGTCTGCACACAGAATATCGAATTCCTAAAAAAAAATCTAAACCAATTTTTCTGTCTTTCCAGTGGTTCGCACAATTCTTGGAGCTCTCTTTAACTCCTCCCCTTCCTGTCCCCTCTGGCCAGCCCATTAGAAATCCCAGTAACTACCTCTACCCCCACTACCACCTTGGTCCAGGCACCATTGCCTCTCATCATGTCTCACCCGGATCATTGCTGTAGGCCCTAGCTGGCCTCCCGGCTTCCACCTTCCCTGCCTCCTAGGGCCATTCTCGGCAGCATAGCCAGAGTGATCCTTTGGAGACAGAATGAATCTGACCGTCCATTCTGCTTCTGGTGGAAAGCTCCTGTGGTTCGGCGTCTCCTGCCTCTTCCCCTGTCATCTCCCCCCATCTCCCCCGCAGCTCCCTGCTCTAGCCCTGCTGTGACTTGGGCTCCTCCCTCTGCTTGCAGGGCTCCTTGCCTTCTTCAGACCTTCTCAAGTGGCAGTTTGTTGAATGAGTGAATGAATGAGTGACTTGTGAAATTCTGGTACAGTTTGTAGTGTGTCATAGGTGCTCAGTAAATGGCAGCAATTTCTGTGTTCTCACTTAAAGTCTCTGGTAGCATTGTGTGGTAGCTGCTGTGGTCCCTGTCTTCCAGCGACAGAAACTGAGCCTCAGAAGTTGACTAGCCTACAGCACTGACTTTGACCATCTTGACCCAGACTCCAGGACGAGTGCATTGTGCATGCTCACACGTCTGGATGTGTGCTGTGCTGACCCTGGGTTGCAGGAAGGAGTGCATCATGCGTGCTCATGCGCGTGGACGTGTGCGCATGTAACTGAGACTGCTGTTTCATGAGGTCTCAGCCTTCCTGTGTTTGAGGCATTCTGACTTTTTTTTTTTAAGATTTATTTATTTATTCATGAGAGACACACAGAGAGGGAGGCAGAGACACAGGCAGAGGGAGAAGCAGGCCCCATGCAGGAAGCCCGACGTGGGACTTGATACTGGGTCTCCAGGATCACGCCCCGGGCTGAAGGTGGCACCGAACCACTGAGCCACCTTGGCTGCCCCATTTTATTATTTTAATTACTAGTTTCAAACCACTAAGTTGATTGTCAGACCCCTTTTAAAAATACTTGTCCATGCTTTTAATTTTGCATCTGTCGCTTTTCCCTGTGGCAACATCTGAACTAGGTTTCTCAAAATTATTAGGACTAAAAACAGTGTTCAGTACACAGCTGAGTTGTAAATGTGGCATAACGAGTCATTTCTTTCTCTGCTGATCTTTGTGGAAGATGGCAAGAGGGTGCATAAATAAATGCATGATTGTTGAGATGTAGTAGAATTAAGGGGAAAATTAAAATGGCTAACAGAAAAGGAAGGGGAAAAGTCTCTATTAAGCAACTGCAAAGAGAGGAATTAGAATTTGCCGCTGATACGAAATGACAGTGGGCAGCAATGAGCAGAACCTCGGGGCATGTGCTTGGGGCGTCATCCCTGGAAGCAGTCATGTCTCTGAGCCCATTAAATTGTAAATTGTGTTTTTTTTTTTTTTTTTTTTTTTGAGCCCATTAAATTGAATCGGCACCATAGCGGGGAATCAATAATAGGAAAGAAGTCTGTGTACCGTGCTTGATTATTCCAGGTTGGTGGCCTAGCAAACCCTCCTTTGTGGGCTGTTCTGAAGAGCCCGCCTGCTGGTTGACCAGCAGAGGCTGCTCCTTTGAAACCAGAGGAGACCTTGCCAGTGTCCTGGGTATCAAGTTGAGTGCATTTACAACCTGCCCTCTAGAGAAAGATAAAACTGTCACCGATAGTCTTAGTTACTTTGAATCCATTCAAAAATAAACGTCATAACTGTTTTATTATTTTTCTAGAGGGAGGGAGAGGCAGAGGAAGAGAGAGAGAATCTCAAGCAGGCTCCCACCCTGTGCGGAACCTGACAGGAACCCACGACCCTGAGATCATGACCTGAGCCGAAATCAAGAGTCGGACGCTTAAATCAACTGAGCCACCCAGGTGCCCCTAAATGTTGTAACTGTTTTAAAGGGATGAGGTGTTACAGTAATGGAAGCCCCAGGGAAGGGTCAGCTTTGAAGAGTCCCCCGTTGTCTCTGTGTGAAGTGGCTTTCTCCTCACTGAGAGCATGGATGGCATTAATATGGACCCTTTTCTTTGATACCGAATTACACGTTTGCCGGGTATGAGACGCTGGCTCGTCCAGCCCTTGCAACAACCGCAAAAGGGAGGTGCAGTCATCCCACCCGTTTCAGGCGAGGGCCGCGGCACTGAGCCAGGACAGGACGGGAAGCAGCCTCTCACCCCGGGGTCTCTGCCAGAGCCTGCACCCAGCCACCAGGCCTTCATATCTCAACCTCAGATTGGAACAGAATCGCAGTGAGATCTCAATGCAAACCCCTTAATTTACAGTTAGTAATAAGTGAGTTTAGATCGGGACACAGTTTCCTCTGTGCTATTGTTGAAAACATGATTTGGTAAGAAAATAGTATTCAGGAGATTATAAGGTGGTTAGCATAAGAAAGAAACCAAGCTCTGCTGTTGTTGAGCTTTCTAACTTTCGCTAAACACTGTGACACAGTAGTGATCAGTGAAATTTTTCTCTTTCCAGATGCTTCCCTATTTTTTAAAGGTCTAGTGAGACACCCCCCCCCAACACACACACCCTCTTTGCAACCCAGTGGTAACAGTTCATGTTGTGGATAAGTTTGTCCAGTGATAAGATTGACTTCCTTTCAGAATTACAGACTCAGGAGCTTCGATTCTTCATGCTTCCTCTCTGAACCAAGAGAGATAGAACCAAGCATCAAACGGATAAGAGCCCTAGATAGCAAACCTTTTGTTTCAAATCATGCTCTTCTCCACAGCTGCTGAGTTCCAGCGGCTCTCTGCTGGTGTGAGAATACCTGGGTCACGGTCTTCGGTCCTGAGACCCCCCCCCTCCGCCGCGGTGGGGACCAGTGCTCTCCAAGAGCCCCAGGACCGGCTGGCTGCTGTTTGCCATGTTCAAATAAGGTTGTTCGCCCACAGAGCTTGTGTCTGCCTATGGTCTGCTCAGGACTGGCACCCGAGAAAAGGCAGCGAGTGTTCCCTGCCCTTGAGGAGTGCTCCGTCCCGTGGAGAGCTTTTCACCACACCTTTGGTAACAATCGTACGCTTTGTCTTTCAGGTAAGCCCTCGCGATGGAGGGGCTGCTGCATTACATCAACCCGGCACATGCCATCTCTCTGCTGAGTGCGCTCAATGAGGAGCGCCTCAAAGGACAGCTGTGTGACGTGCTTCTGATTGTTGGAGACCAGAAGTTTCGAGCTCATAAAAATGTCTTGGCCGCCAGCAGTGAATACTTCCAGAGTTTATTCACAAACAAGGAGAATGAGTCACAGACTGTCTTTCAGCTTGACTTTTGTGAACCCGATGCTTTTGATAACGTTTTGAACTACATTTACTCTTCTTCTTTATTTGTCGAGAAGAGCAGTCTCGCTGCCGTGCAAGAACTGGGCTACAGCCTTGGGATTTCCTTCCTGACTAACATCGTCTCTAAAACACCTCAGGCCCCCTTTCCAACGTGTCCCAACAGAAAAAAAATATTCATAGAAGATGATGAAAGCAGTTCTCAGAAGAGAAGCGTCATTGTTTGTCAAAGTAGAAACGAAGCACAGGGAAAAACTGTGAGTCAGAATCAACCCGACCTAAGCCATACTTCCCGGCCCTCACCTAGCGCCGCGGTCAAGACCAGCACCAGTAAGCCCCATGTCCCCAAAGCAGCCGAGCCGCTCCACAGTCTGCCACTAGCTGACAAGAGTTGGCCGAAAGATGGTTCGGTGGGCTATGCCAAGCCTCTGGAGCACTCTGGGCCTCTGGATGACCCTTCCCGAAGCAGTTTGGTGAAAAGGAGCGCGCCGCCGCCTTCCAAGCCTCCGCAGGACAGAGAGCCGATGGACGAGAAAGCGGGTCTGAGCGGCCAGCTCCCCAAAGGCAAAGCCATAGAGCTGGCTTTGAAGAGACCCCGGCCCCCGGTCCTGTCCCTCGGAGGCTCGACGGAGACCCCCTACGTGCTGAAGGAAACTCACCGAGGCGGCGGGCCAGGCGAGGACAGGAACTTGCTGTACTACTCGAAGCTGGGGCTGGTGGTCCCGTCCAGCGGCTCCAGCTCCGGGAAGCCGGGCATCGACAGGAGCGGCCCGCTCGTCAAGAGCCTGCTCAGACGGTCGCTGTCCATGGACAGCCAGGTGCCTGTCTACTCGCCCTCCATAGATCTGAAGCCGTCCCCGGGGCCCCCTTCGGCGGCGAGCGACGTGCCAGGGGCTGCGTTCTGCGCTGTGGCTCAGAAGGCACCTGTGAAGGATTGCGGGGAGAAGGCGGCCCCCGAGGAGCGGAGCCCTGCACCCCAGCCACACCGCCTGAGATCCTTCAGTGCCTCGCAGTCCACGGAGAGGGAGGGGGAGCCGGCTGTGACCGAGGTTCGCATCAAGACGGAGCCCCGCAGCCCCCTGGCCGACCCCTCCGACATCATCCGTGTCACTGTGGGGGACCCGGCGGCCGCCACCAGGGACCTCCCCTTGAAAACCGAAGACGACCAGAAAGACGCGAGCAGGCTCCCGGCCAAACGGAGGCTCCGGACGGACCGCAGGCCGCCGCTGAAGAAGGTGAGGGAGGACGAGCCCGGGTCCCCAGTGTCCGCAGAGAGCTTCCAGGGGGGCCCGAGCCCCCCGCTCCCCGACGGCGAGTTTCCCGATTCTGACTTGAATAAAGATGAATTTGGTGAGTTGGAGGGAACAAGACCAAACAAAAAATTTAAATGCAAACATTGCCTTAAGATCTTTAGATCGACAGCAGGTCTTCACCGGCACGTTAACATGTACCATAACCCCGAGAAGCCCTACGCTTGCGACATCTGTCACAAGCGGTTTCACACAAACTTCAAAGTGTGGACACACTGTCAGACCCAGCACGGCATCGTGAAGAACCCGTCACCGGCCTCTAGTTCACATGCCGTTTTGGATGAGAAATTCCAAAGAAAGCTGATTGACATAGTGCGAGAGAGAGAGATTAAGAAGGCCCTGATCATTAAGCTGCGGCGCAGCAAGCCTGGGTTCCAGGGGCAGAGTAGCTCCCAGGCCCAGGCCATCAAGAGGAACTTGCGGTCGCGAGCCAAAGGAGCATACATTTGTACTTACTGTGGAAAAGCCTATCGCTTTCTCTCGCAGTTCAAGCAGCACATAAAAATGCACCCGGGAGAAAAGCCCATTGGCGTCCATAGAGCCGCCAAGCCCAAAGAGCATGTCGCTCTCGAGAGTCCGGTAGAGAACAAGGAGGTTTACCAGTGCCGCCTCTGTAATGCTAAGCTCTCTTCTCTTCTAGAGCAAGGAAACCACGAGCGCTTATGCAGGAACGCAACCGTTTGCCCCTACTGCAGCCTTAGGTTTTTCTCGCCGGAGCTCAAGCAGGAGCACGAGAGTAAGTGTGAGTACAAGAAGCTGACGTGTCTGGATTGCATGCGCACCTTCAAGTCCTCCTTCAGCATCTGGCGGCACCAGGTGGAAGTCCACAATCAGAACACCATGGCGCCGGCTGAGAACTTCTCCCTCCCCGTCCTGGACCACAACGGTGACGTGGCAGCCGCCTCCCGGCCCCAGGCCCAGCCTGAGCCTGGCAAAGCCAACCACGCGGTGACTGCGAAAGACGACACCGCGTTCAGTGACTGTTCGGAGCACGTGAACTTTGACTCGGAAGATTCCTCCTGTCTGCCCGAAGACCTGAGCCTCTCTAAGCAGCTGAAGATCCACGTCAAGGAGGAGCCCGCGGAGGAGGCCGAGGAAGAGGCGCCCGAGGCCCGTGCCGCCCCCAAGGAGGCAGGCTCCAGCAAGGATAGCAGCCTGTGGCCCTGCGAGAAATGTGGCAAGACGTTCACGGCGCACAAGCAGCTGGAGCGGCACCAGGAGCTCCTGTGCTCCGTGAAACCTTTCATCTGCCATGTGTGCAACAAAGCTTTTCGCACCAACTTCCGCCTCTGGAGTCACTTCCAGTCCCACATGTCTCAGGCTACGGAGGAGCCGGCGCATAAAGACTCAGAGGCCTGCCCCGCGCCCACAAACTCTCCGTCCCCGCCCCCGCTGCCCCCGCCCCCGCCGCTGCCCAAGATCCAGCCCCTGGAGCCCGACAGCCCCACGGGGTTGGCCGAGCACCCCGCTCCCGCCACGGAGAAGCTCTTTGTACCCCAGGAATCCGACACGCTTTTTTACCATGCCCCCCCGCTCTCTGCAATCACATTTAAGAGACAGTTCATGTGCAAACTGTGCCACAGGACATTCAAGACAGCCTTCAGCCTTTGGAGTCACGAACAGAGCCACAACTGAGAGACCGACCGTCCCTCTTCACCCGCCACGGAAGGGGAGGTGGTCTCCAGAGTTCAGCCTCAGTTGTGAAACGTCCATAAGAAACAAAATATTTTTTCAAAGAGAATAATAAAGGTTGGAGATTGTTCCACTTGAATAGGAGCTTGAGGTAAATTGATACTAATTAGTAACGTCCTCACTCAGCTTAGGAAACCTAAAATTGGTTGTGCTTTGGGCCTACAGTCCTAGGATGATTTGACTTCATTCATGTTGAAATTGGACCGATTTTGGTTGTTTGCATGGTTCCTCATTCCACGGTGTCAGTATAATCTTTACCCAGAGGTGGTTTTGGGTTTTGGTTTGTTTTGGGGTTTTTTTTTGTTTTGTTTTTCTTTTTGTTTTTTAATATACTGATTTGCAATCAGTGAAATACTCTTCAAGTATTTCTTTTGATTACATCAGACACCTAAGTTCTAGTTCAATCTCGGCCACGTTCTGAAGTCCACAGCGTACCCAGAGGAAGTGGAGTAGTTTGCAACATTGAGTTAGATCTTAGGATACTTTAGCAATAAAACAATGATAAGCCTCAACTTTAATAAGTTATCCTGACACTTGATAACAATAAATATTTGGTATTTTGTGGTCTTGTAGAAATTTTTTTGTATGAAAATTGTGAGAAATTTAAATCAGCAATAGTAATACTTAGATTTTTATAAAATAACAAAAGCTTGCTCTTGGGTCATTTAATATAATTAATGATGGAAGATTTGGGAAATAACGTGAGGGTTTCTGGAAGGCCTCCGAGCCCATTTACAAAAGTTTCCGTGGCGACAGGCATCGTAATCGAAACTGCTGTGCTGTGCACGCGTGCCTCAGGTCCCAGCCCTCCCCACCGTTGGAAGGACTGGACGTGTTTGGTCTCCTCCGATTTATGCTGTCACCGGTGGGAAATCCGAGTGCATTTGGGACAGGACACAAAGGTGGCATTAGTGGAACAAGTAAGGTTGGGACAGACACTTAGGTACCCAGGTCCCACGCTCCCGGTCAGTACAGCCGCTGTAAGCCCCGGGTTGGCGTGGACTTCCCAGGATGGGAAGCAGGGGAAAAACATCGCGCCGCGGTCCCCACGCGCCCTCAAGAACAGTATTCGCAGCGTACCATTTCCTGCCTCTGTTTCTGTTAGAATCTCTTGGAGTTTATTGTGGTAAAATGTCCTTAGTGCAATCATTCTGCTTTAAGTCACTGCTTTAACGTTTCAAAAACCTGTATTAAAGCACTATCAAGGGTCCAGAGTTCATTTTTGCTACCTATTTTGGCCCACGGGGTTTGGGCTGCTTTTTTTTTTTTTTTTTCTTTCTTTCTATTTTGTATAAGTTATAATAAAAAGGCTTTTGTAGGTGTCACCCGAAGCTCAGCGGGTGTTTCTAAAGGGAAAACTTCTATTTCACTTGTGCAAACGAGGGGTTAGGTGTGAACAAGTGGAAATAACGGTTGAAACTACAGAATCCTTTTAAGGTAGTGCTATGGATGAAGATTCCCAACTTTGTTGATTTTTTTTTTTTACAAGCTATTCTCTCAAATAAAAAAGAAAATTACTGTGACTGAGAAATAATTTGCTGAGTACTTAAGTGTACCGCTGCAGCAGAAAAGAGCTCGGTGCTCATCGATCTCGTCACCTACATTCCGTGCCAGTGGTAGGAAAGACATACTAACTTTTTATTGAAACACAAGCATTTTCATAAAATACTAATTGGCTTTGTGGATTACAGAAACTGCATGTGAAATTTTGCCTTTTATTTTTCTATTTGAAAACTATCACAAGTCCCAAAACATTTGAGTGGTCCCTTCCTGTTTTTGTTCTTACTTAAATCTGATGCAGAAAGGAAAATAAAATGAAGTTGCAGTAACCAGTTATTGGCCATCTTTATATTTTCTTGAAGAAATCTATGCATTTTAAAGATAGAACTAAGGTGTATGATGTTACCTGAAACATCAGCGTGGATATATTGCTCATTGAATTAATTCCCTGTATAATGTGCTGTTTCTTACTCTGAACACCTTGGCAGCTGTCGCTTCCTCGAAAGACAGTCTCCCTCAGAGTAATCCTTGCTTCTGGCTGTTAGAGTGTGTGCGGTAATTCCACGCCACACCTTACCTTGGCATTGTAAATTCAGTATCCCAGGACTTGAACCTTTATGCTACGTTTTTGAAGATTTTTTAATGATGTTAATCAGTAAAAAAAAAAAAAATATTTTTGATCTAAATATAGGCTCAGCGTATCTGTTAGACTTTGAAAATTGCCAGTGTTTTGTCTCATTCACATTTTTGTCTAGGCAAGGAACATAAGATTTCGAATAAAATTTTGAACCAAAAACATTTATAATGCAGTTCTGGTTTTTCTATTACTTTTTATACTGTTACCTTCAAAGCGTCAGGCTGAGAGAGTTTATTTTGGTGGTCAGAAAAATAAAATACGCTTCCAAACTCCTGTGACTATTTTAAATGTTAGGAAGTAAAATAACGAAAGACACGTGAATCGCTTCGTTTAAGAATGAATCTCAGACAGCGGGCGAGCAGTCTGGGACAGGTTGGTCTTTTCGTTGCTAGGACTCCAGCTGGTAAAGGTATTCCTAAAAATGTTTTTTTTCTGAGGAGAATTAATGTTTGAAAATATAGAAAGCTCAGTGTTCTTTGTAAGGATTCAGGATGCCTTTTTTTTTTTTTTAATGCAGTCGTGGAAAGAATGTTAAGATGTTTTAATATATTCTTTGTTAATCTGAGAACTTGCTCTCGAATCATTTTCTCGATGTGGGAGAGGGAAAGAGGAACGCCCTAAAACGCCTTTTTATCAAGGTAGGCAATGGAGGTTGCAGATAGTGTGCATTTTCTTTTATAGTAATCTTTCAACTTAGCAGAATATTCACCTTTAAAACCAGTTACGGCTAGTGTGCATTTCCTGTTTTATCAAAATACACAACCACGAGTTCGACCATGACGTGGTTTTGCATTTGCCGGGGACACGTGCGTGGTTCTCGGTTTTCTGTTTCGGAGGGGATCGTTAACAGCCTTTAAAAAAAAAAAAAAAAAAAGGCTCCAGCCCTTACTAATCAGTCTTATCCACACGCAGCACCCATTGGCGCTGATGAGGGTGGAGGCTGTCAGACCCGAGCAAAGCGAGCCCTTTCTTGCAGGCAGGGGGCATCTCTCTCTGCAGACCAGCCAGCGGCCGGCCCTGGGCGGGGAGAGACAAGAGCCACGGGCCTGGAGTCGGCCTCTGTCTCTGTCTGTGTGTGTGTGTGTGTGTGTGTGTGTGTGTGTGTGTGTGTGTGTGTACGGACGTGTGTGTACAACCAGAATCCAGAATTAAAGGTATCTGAATTTTCTTACCATGAAAATAATTAGATGTCACGCATAGCCGGTTTCTTTATAAATTGCACTAATTCATATTGGAATATTACAAGTCTGTTTTTTGTCCCATTTCTGATCTCTCCTTGATGTTTTTTTTGTAATAATTGTGAAAAGCGTCATTATTTAAATAATGCTAATACATTGAATAAGTTCTTTAACACTGGCCTTTTTTTTTTAAAAAAAAAAGTTTAAAAAATAGGGTTTTCTTTTGTGGCTTTAGCACTTTAAGAAGTTTTATGTTTCCATAATTGTTAATGTGCTTGTTCAGTGCTTCTCCCGTGTGTCCCCTCACGGGGGGGGGGGGCCACTTCCTCGCGCGGCTGGGGGGAGACTGAACGCTCGTGTTTACGTTCCAGAGGAGGAAGCATGGTTAGTGTCAGGTTTTTAAAGGAATTCCTTTCAGAGACCGTTGTTTGGGAACCAAAGTATTTTACTGTAAATCTTGAAAATAACTCAATTGAGTGCTCTCTAGTCATTTATTAGTGCTGTTCTCAAATTCTCCACAAAGTTATACTTGGTTAATGTTCATTTCCAAAAAGGGATAATTTCTTAATTGACATTAATCCAATACTTTCAAAGTTTTCATTGAATAACCCTTATTATGAAACAAACGTGGTTATAAGCAAATTGTGTATATTTTGTTGTCAGATGCCTTAGCGGACTAAATCATTGTTCAATTTTATTTAGGAATGAGCTTTTTGGAACTGAAAAACTCACGGTAAAATAGGATTTCTATCTAATGTTAATCCATCGCTTATTTGTATCCAATTCTGTTGTCTGTTTCCTTTGCTTAAATCTTGACTAAGAATGATTGGAGTCAATAAATTTGTACTGTATTTTGTTTTGAGTCCTGGTCTCACTGGTCTGTTTGGGACGTTGATGACGATTAGTAGCATATACATTTCTGAAAGTACAGACGAAGGCCCTTCCGGGCGAGTCCCGGGAGTGGCCGCCTGAGCAGGTGCTTCCGCAGCGCCCGCAGCCTGCTTGGAGAGCTAGGTCCGGGGGCGCCACAAATACGTGCGCATTAAAACCTTACGTCAGCAATCACGTTTGCCTATCCACCTTTTTCTTTACCGTTCACGTTAGTCTTTGAAAGGATCGTGGGGGTGGGTGCATAAACATCGACATCTCAGCATAGTGGTTGATAATCCAGCTTCATTGCATAATCTTCACGGCCCCCAGGTCATCCGAACCAGGCCCTCCCTTCCGTGACCCCGGCTTCCCCCGAGAGGGGGAGCCACGCCGCGGGCATCTCCGATGACCACCAGCAGGCTGACGGCAGGCACGGAAGGAGCACGTCCCGGGCACTCTTGCTCACCGGATCCCCTAAGACCGAGGACAGCAGACTTGGGGGCCTCCGGACAGCAGTTTCGTGATCACACTGCCCCTGAACAAACGATATAAATTTTTTAAAGTTTTATTTATGTATTTGAGAGCACAAGTGGGAGGGGCAGGGGAAGAGGGAGGAAGACTCGCAGGCAGACTCTGCAGCCAGTGTACAGCCCAATGCGGGGCTCGATCTCACGACCCCAAGATCAGGAGCTGAGCGGAAACCAAGCGTCAGACGCTCAATCAGCTGTGCCATCCAGGCATCCTTATGAATTTTTGTCTTTTTTTTTTTAATTTTTTATTTATTTATGATAGTCACATAGAATGAGAGAGAGAGAGGCAGAGACACAGGCAGAGGGAGAAGCAGGCTCCATGCACCGGGAGCCCGACGTGGGATTCGATCCCGGGTCTCCAGGATCGCGCCCTGGGCCAAAGGCAGGCGCCAAACCGCTGCGCCACCCAGGGATCCCATGAATTTTTGTCTTAATCCGCTTTAGCTCTGCTACCCAATTGGCCACCAAACACTGTTTTGTTTAAAATGTTTCCTGTGGCCTTTTCTTCATAGTGATTACAGGCCCTTTGGGGTCTGGGGCTGTCGCGGTCCTGTGGCGTCCTCCCCGGTCTTGGGCACACGCTCCGGACAGTAAATGCCTGTGGTGGCCAAACCACGTTGCCACCGTGCAACGTGTTCCCCAGCCAGAGGCTCTGTCTCGGCTCCGTCGAGCACGGTGAGCTCCGTGAGCTGCGACGGTTGAGTGGCGGGAAGTCCTCCTTCAGGGCGTGTGTCTGGAGAGGGACACTGCGCGCTGTCACAGGAGCACGGTCACGCCTGGCGCAGCCCTGCCGTAGCGTCCCGCGATGGGCTGTCCGCCCCATCCTCCAGGGTCGGGCCCCTCAGTGCGTTGTCCCCGCAGCACCTGTGTCACCTGCGTTTTGCCCAACGGAATGCCTGAGGTCCCGTTTGGGTTCGGTCATTTCCAGGACACGCTTCCTGACCCCTTTGCCCCGCATCTCGCCGCAGCTCAACGTAGGCGCCTGGTGTACGCATCGCCACCCGAGAGCTCCGGCCTTGCCACCTTCTGTCTTAGCTGCCCGTGTGCTAGGGCCGCGCTGGGCCAGGGGAAGGGGCGGGTCGAGGTCTGATAGAGGAGTCCTGCCAGACGCTGCAGACAGCGCCCATTTATTCTCAGCTGTACTAGAAGGCGCTCGCTCGCTGGGTGTCCCTGCATACGTCCCCCAGATTCTCACTCAGCTGCTCACACGCCCAGAGCCTATTTTCATTCTTCTACAGATCCCACGAAGCCCAAGAGAAAGGACGGAAACGCTCAAACGTCCGGCCTCAGATCGACGCGTCCCTTGCCCTTTGTCAACGCCACGTACTCTGGTGGCGCTGTAATCGCTCCGGGTGTGTGGCGGGCTGTGTGAGTGTCACGGGCCCGGCCACACTGCCCCTGAGCTCCCCCGGCCTGGCAGGTTGTCGGGATACACTCACCTGTCGACCCGAGAACAGTAGCAGCTGATGACTACTACTAGGAGGCGGTGGTAGTACTTGCTGCACGGGTGTGTGGAGGTATTTGTAAAGCAGCAGCAGGCCTGTGTCCCTCCCACGCTGGGTCTCACTGTCCCCTGCGCTCGCGTCACCCAGCCCTCGTCTCCCTCGGTTTGGAGTATTGCTCGCCGTTTCCTCGACGTGCATAGCCTCGATCATTCTCGAGGATCACGGACCGGTCGTCTTGCAGAGCACCCCTTACCCGGGGCTTGGTGTTCCCTCCCAGGGAGCCCCCCGGTATGCATTTCTGCACCAGAAAACCACGGAAGCTATGTCCTTGCCCCTTGGTCATGCACGAGGCGTGCGGTACCCGCGTGCCCTGTCACTGGGGGCACTCGGTAGCATTCCTGCGCGTTTCTCCACTATGCGATCCCCCTCTGCAGCTAATGAACACTCTGTGGGGACGTATTTTCAGGCTGTGTGGAATCTCGTTTTTCATCTCAATTTTTACCCACTAATGTTAGCATCTGTTGATGGGTTTTGCCTGAATTCCTTATTATTACAATCGTTGCCAAATGGCGATTTTTCTCATACCTTCGTGCCTTCTTCACTTACCTGCATGCTCTCCACTGCAAGAAGAAGAAGAACACGTCTGTTATTCCCACTAATTTGTTCGCTGTGTCTGTGCTGCGGACCCTGGGATGCCTCATCTGTTCAAGGGGTTGCAATCAGTCACCGTTGCTTCGGTGCTTAGTTACCCCAGGTCTAGCCAGTGGGAGCTTCGGGCTTCTCTGACCCGTGATGCATCCCCCTCTCGTGCCTGGAGTATCTTCCTACTTTCTCACCCAAGTGTTCCAGACTCACCCTGTCCTTTTCCTGCCAGAGCCCCCAAATCAGGCATTTCTCTAAGGACGCTGGTTCCTGTAAGTGGAGAATGTTGTTTGGAGACCAGGATCTGATGCAAGGTGTGGATGTGCCAGGTCCTTCAGTGGACGGGCTTACAGGGAAGATTCACACACACACTGACATCTGGATGTATCCCAGAATCTTCTAGATCTATCTGGATACGGGCAAATCTGTGCGTCCACACCACCAATAGCTTAGATTCCAACCCACTGCCGGATGGTTTGCTCCGTGGCTTCCTCCCTTCCAGGTTTACACCTTCCCTCTCTGATGGTGACATCAGGCTCCCACAGCCTCAGCCTCCCCTGTGTGTAGCCAACCTCCAGACCCCCTTGCACCTGCCTTGCACAGGCAGGCTGACTGCCAGCCTCAAGGGGATCTACCAGTTGGCTTTTTAACATAAGGAGAAAGGAAAGAAGACACGGAGGGAAGGAGGAAGGACTATTTGTCTCTTTTTCCCTGTCAGTTCTACCAGTTTTTGCTTGATATAGTCTCTCACTCTAATATTAACTGAATACATGTATAGGATTGATTAACTGACCCCATTATTTTGGTTTTCTAAAAGATTTTTATTCATGTATTTATTCATGAGAGAGACACACACACAGAGGCAGAGACACAGGCAGAGGGAGAAGCAGGCTTCTCGCAGGGAGCCCAATGCAGGACTCGATCCCAGGACCCCCGGGTCATGACCTGAGCCAAAGGCTGATGCTCAGCCACTGAGCCACCCAGGTGCCCCTATTGGTTTTTAAGTGAGCTTCTTTATCTACTGCGAAACCTACTTTGTATTAATACAACTACTTCACCTCCTTCTTGACAAGTTTCAGCATGGTATATTTTTTCTATTCTTTTACCTATTTGTGTCACTTTATTGAGTGTGTTTCTTGCAAGCAGCATATATTTGGGTACTGATTTTTAAATCCAATCTACATCCTCTGCCTTTTTAAGATTTTATTTATTCATGAGAGACACACAGAGAGGCAGAGACACAGGCAGAGGGAGAAGCAGGCTCCATGCAGGAAGCCTGGTGCCGGACTTGATCCTGGGACTCCAGGATCACACCGTGAGCCAGAGGCAGATGCTCAACCATTGAGCCACCCGGGCATCCCCATCCTCTGCCTTTTAATCAAAGTATTTAGACCATTTACATTTAACATCTTATTATTCATTTTCTACTCATCCTGTCCATTCTGGGTTACCTGTTTCCTTTTTTCTTCCTTCTTTTGGACTGAGTTTTGTTTTTTCTTTTCTTTTCTTTCAAGATATACTTCTTTTAGAGAGAGAGAGAGAGAGCACATGAGTTGGGAGGAACAGAGGGAGAGAAAGAATCGTCAAGCAGGATCCCTGCTCAGCAGAGAGCCCAGCCCAGGGCTCTATCTCATGACCCTGAGATCATGACCTGAGCCAAAATCAAGAGCCGGCCACTTAACTGACCAAGCCCCACAGGCACCCCTTGTTTTTCTTTTTTTTTTTTTACCCCTTGTTTTTCTTTTTAATGATTCCATTTCTCTCTTTTGTTGGATTATTAGCTATTACTTTGTTTTATTATTTCAGTAGTTATGTTACAGGTTATAGTATACATCTTTGCCTTATCATAGTCCACCCTCCAGGAATGTCACACAACCTTACGTGTGATGCAAGAACAGATGGCATAGTGTCCTTTTCTCCCTTTCCAGTCTTTGTGCTACGATTGTCAGACACTCATTTCTGTGTATAGTATAAGCCCTACAGTACATCGTTATTGTTTTCACTTTAATTTTTTTAAAAGATTTTATTTATTTATTCATGAGAGACACAGAGAGAGAGAAGCAGGCTCCATGTAGGGAGCCCGACGCGGGACTTGATCCTGGGACCCTGGGACCATGCCCTGGGCTGAAGGCAGGCGCTCAACCACTGAGCCACCCAGGGATCCCCTTGTTTTCACTTTAGTCAACTAAGGGGACACCTGGGTGGCTCAGTGGTTGAGTGTCTGCCTTTGGCTCAGGGCGTGACCCCGGGGTCCCGGATCAACTCCCACATCAGGTTCCCTGCATGGAGCCTGCTTCTCCCTCCACCTGTGTCTCTGCCTCTCTCTCTGTGTCTCTCATGAATAAATAAATGCAATTAAAAAATAAATAGCCAAC